GGCAATTTCCATTTAATTTCTTTTCAGAGAAGACATATAGAAGCAGCATGCTAAAGGGGCTGCAGTGTCTGGAAAAGATAAAAGGACTGGTTTTAATTTGCCTTCCATTTCTGCTGCTAATGACACCCTGCTGAGACAGACTGTAATATTAACACACAAATTCCCACAAACCCAATAACATCCTTTCACTAGGATGTCTTGGGTTATTATAAGATCTCTTTAGCACAAGTTATGTCATTAAAGGAAATGTAAAAGTAAATTAATCTCACATCCAGGAAACGAAAAGACAGGAGAAACAGAATTGTAGGCTTTTCCCCACATTAGGTACTCCTAGTTAATATATTTTATGATCTTAATTTCCTGTTATTTCAAATATCTAGATATGAACACAAGCTTCCCTTTGTCAAACCAAACACAACGCCTCCATTTTATTTAGTATTCTTAAAATGTATATTTTAAGATTTTAAATATTTTAATGAAAGTGGCATTATTTAATTTTGTACAGTTCCTTACACTGTAGTTTCAAAGCCATTTAACCATTTAATAACTATTCTTCACAAAATATCTACATGAATATTTGGAAGGTGACTTGACAAAATGAGACCAAAATTAAGTATAAAAGAGTGGCACAATTAGGATTAGAAATGTAGTGACAGGGTTCAGGGGACACACCACCCCACGATATGGCACCTTGGCATATTGACTATTTTAAGCTGATGGAACTTGAGAAATGGCATGAGTAGTAAGGACTTGCGACCTTCCCTTGAAGCAGGTCATAAAACCCTCATGTGAGAGGTGCCCTCCCCAATACCCGGAAGGAAGGAACATTCTTACCTTCAAAGAAGAGACAGAAAGGAATGGGAACAAACAGATCTGGCTAAGTTTCCCTCAGTTTCTTACACTTAGCTCACCTTTGTTCTATCTCATTTTCCCACAACTTTCCACCCTTCATCAAATCTAGCACACAAGCACTCAGATTTAACAGTTTCTCTGGGTCTTCATTTCCTTACGAAGGTTCCCATGTCACATAACACTTACAGTAAATAAATGTGTACGCTTTTCTCTTGTTAATCTGCCTCTGTTATAGGGGTCCCAGTTAAGAACACAAAAAGAGGAAAGATATCTTTCCTCCCCTACAGGAGTATTCCCACTTTCTTTCCATTTAATATTCTCCAAAATGACTTAATAATATAAATACAGATGACTCTTGAACAACATGGGTTTGCATGTGTGGGTCAATTTATACCCAGATTTCTTTCACTAAATACATACTACAGTACTACACAACCTGTGGTTGCTTGAATCCACGGATGTGGAACCGCAGATACCAAGGGCTGTCAAATTGTACATGAATTTTCAACTGCGCAGAGGGTGGGCACCCCCAACCTCCGTGTTGTTCAAGGGTCAAGTGTATTTTAGTGAGATATGCATTTTACAATATCGATTTTATTTTATTTATTTTTTTATTTTTTTGCCACTTTGCGTGGCTTGAAGGATCTTAATTCCCCGACCAGAGATTGAACCCAGGCCCACAGCAGTGAAAGTGCCAAGTCCTAACCACTGGACCGCCAGGGAATTTCCTACAAGATTGATTTTAAAATGAGGTAAAAAATTATAGATGAAAGAGATCATTTAGATCAAATTGTACAGATCAGAATTATTTCCAAGTGTAATCTTCCTTATGTGAATACACATCTGAAATAATGTTTCTAAGGATCCAGCTATGATGGAGTGACAGATTTGGAGGGAGGGGTAGGTCTATTTAAAACACAATTTTATCATTGTGAAATAAACCTCTTGGTGATGCAGCTGGATATCTAAACTTCTATTAACCATATAAACACTTAAGAGTCTTATTTTTTTAATAAAAGGACTCTATTCAATATCCATTTTAGAAAATTTAACCAAAAAGAGCCAAGTAATGTGTCTGGCGTATCTCAGCACTCAATAAATACCTGATGAAAGAATAAATGACATCACAATCAGAAGAGGTAGCAGACAGAAGCTTTCCTTGCTTCCACATAGTAATTGTCTTCATTTTCAAGACCTAATCCCCACCAGGGAAAGCACATTTTGAGTTTTTCAAAGTAAAAGGGTCTAGTGTACACAATTTGTCCAGTGCCTTCATTGTAACAAAATTAACCTGGCACAATCAACCTCCCTCTCTGGCAAGAGCAGCACCGTGGGAGGTCGTAAGAGTACTGTGGGAGCAGTCAGGTTCCCAGAAGAGAGGCACACACATGAATGAGCACACACTCACATCCCTCATTTCTGCTCCAGGCTCACAAGTTAAAGACAGAGTTCACATTTTCCTTCCTGAGAATGGAAAGTAGATTTAGGTATGTCTCACATACTCTTTTATTTGGACCCTTGCTCATGGTATTTTCTTGCAGAGGAATAAACCACTCATAGTTCTGGAAGACAGGATGAAAAGAAATGCCACGAGGCTGAGGCTAAGGGGCTGAGATTTTGCCTGTTTGCTCGAAAATTACAAATGCTCCTCTCCTGAGTAAATATGAAACAAAATATTTAAATAAATGAGTATAAGCTCAGAGGTCTTGTTTGTTTTGCTGGTTCAAATGCAATGGAAGTTTATTTCTTGCTTCTATGAGTTTAAAGTGGACTTTCCTGATCGGTGGGTGACTCTCTTCCAAGCATTGATATAGGGTGCCAGATTTATCGCCTCCTACAGGCTGCTATCTTTTTTAAAAAATTTTATTTATTTTTATTGAAGTATAGTTGATTTACAAGCTCAGAGCTTTAAAAACCAAATCTAAGGTATAATTTACCAAGACCTAGAATAAACGTGATGTAAAATTTGAGGTGCTAAGTTAAAAAAAAATTTTTTTTTGAGGGACTTCCATGGTGGTCCAGTGGTGAGGAGGACGCGGCACTTCCACTGCAGGGGGGCATGCGTTTGATTCCTGGACAGGGAACTAAAATCCTGCATGCCGAGTGGCGTGGCCGAAAAAAAAAATTTTTTTTAAAGATGAATAAACACCACATTTTCTAAGAACATGGTCAACCATAGGATTAAGACAATCACTTACAACCTAATCCAGGCCAAATATTTACTTTTACCTAAATTACCTATTTTTAAAATTATCATCGAGGGTCACTGCCTCAGTTTTCAACTTGGCCTGCCTGGTTTATGAGTATTGCAGGAATAAGGCCAGGCCTAAAAGAATCAGGTTTTCATACAAGCCAAAAAAAATCACTGAACTCTTCTTATATATATGACAATTTAGCAGCAACAAAAACATAGTACTTGAACTAAGACATTTTAGAATGAACAGACATAATTACAATAACTTAAACTCTTAAACCATGTATTGAAATTATGACTTGAAACACAAAATCAGAGATTCTTGTGGGAAGGCTTCAGAAGTTCAGTCACAGTTGCCAGAAGCTGAGGACGGAGGACCTGTGACTGATGCATAACCTTAGAAAGGACTCTTACTAGCATTATCTGCCTCTTTTGGTTTTTTAATTAATTAATTTTTGGCTGCGTTGGGTCTCCATTGCTGCACACAGGCTTTCTCTAGTTGCAGCAAGTGGGGGCTACTCTTCTTTGTGGTGTGCGGGCTTCCCATTGCAGTGGCTTCTCTTGTTGCGGAGCACAGGCTCTAAGTGCACGGGCTTCAGTAGTTGTGGCACGCAGGCTCAGTAGTTGTGGCTCGCGGGCTCTAGAGCTCAGGCTCAGTAGTTGTGGCGCACGGGCTTAGTTGCTCCGCATGTGGGATCTTCCTGGACCAGGGCTCAAACCCGTGTCCCCTGCATTGGCAGGTGGATTCTTAACCACTGCACCACCAGGGAAGTCCCTGTCTTCTTCTTTCTTAACTCAAAAGAAAATTGGTGGCTCTCTTTGACCTCCTTTATAGAAAATATTTTTTACTTGTTTATTTATTTTTGTTTGCGGTACGCGGGCCTCTCACTGTTGTGGCCTCTCCCGACACGCAGGCTCAGCGGCCATGGCTCACGGGCCCAGCCGCTCCTCAGCATGTGGTATCCTCCCGGACCAGGGCATGAACCCGTGTCCCCTGCATCGGCAGGCGGACTCTCAACCACTGCGCCACCAGGGACCACCAGGGAAGCCCTACTTGTTTATTTTTAAACGTAGTCCATTGTCTGAGGCTGTAAGGAATGTGATGCTCTCAGAGAAAAACAACCAAGCGTTAGGAATCTACCAACTGACAGCCTCAAACCGCGCTCAACTTTCCTGGTCCTCTGCTTGGAACAGCATGGACTTTGCATTGTAAGCTCTTAAGAATGTCACTAACCCCTTGTGTTTGAGGCCCTTTCAGCATTACAGTCTTTCCACCTTGCTATTAGTGTGAGCAGGGAGAGGGGCTTTCAAAAAGAAAATGAGTGAGGATGTCAAAAGGCCATATTCTAGGGTGATATCTAGTAGAGCCATATTTCTAACCTGCTTTTTGCAACTTAATGAAAATATTAAGTACTAGTTTCCCCAGTTTCTAAATCTTTTCAATTCCAGGGCCACACAGACTGGAAGCAATTACAGCTTGTTCACGGGGGTCTGTGGGAGTGCTGACAGTTTTAATTTACATATTAATGCTGAAAAACAATTTGAGAGGCAAAGAAGAGTGTTCTTTGGTCTTAGTAATGAAAAGACAAGAAAAAAAAGTGGACGGGAAAGTGATTGAAAAGCTCTAGGCAAAATGGTCTGGGTTTATTTTTTCTGTAATAATTTCAAACTATCCACCGGTCACTGTAATAAGATACTATTCCAATGGTGGATTTGCACAGTCTTTTATTTTGCCTAAGATGACCATTCTTTGGCTGAGTGTCTTCAATAAAAGGCCTATCGACCAAAGTTAACAACCCATCTGTCCCAACTCCAACTCGTTCCTGGGAAAAACTCATTCTATTGCTTGACTTCTTCCTCTACCTAACTTAACACTCACAGGATAAAAACAAAGCAAAACGCTGAAAGAGAAATTGTTTTAAATTATTAGATTTCATTAAACAGCCAGGTTGGACACTTGATCATTGGAATTTATTTCTGCGGCAACCCCAGTTCTTTGAAAAATGCAGGAATTCTTTCCATTAAAATATTAGCTTGACCCAAGGATGTCAAAAAGCTGCCTTAGCATTAGTTATTGCAGTTTGAGACCTCCCAAGAGGTCTAAAAAACTAGAAGATTAAATATAGCAAAATATGAACATAACATGAACATAGTTTACAAGTCATTTAATAACTATAGTTGTATAGACTTTTCAAATTACTTTTCTAAATTACCAAATTTGTGAAAAATATATCATATGGCCCTTGAAAAAACTATTAAATGGTGGATTAACCCCAATGTAAAGCTTTCTACATTAAGAAAGAGAGGGGAATGCACGGTAATCCTATGTAGTAGTTAGCTCCTATGATCCCCACTGAACAGATGAGGAAAATGAGGCTCAAAAAATATGGTCACCAAAAAAATATATATATATATTGTCACCTACCAAAGGTCACACGGCCATGACTGACAGTGTCTTGCTAGGCACTGCAAACCTGGTCACTTTGAAACGAAGGTTAATTTTAAATTAAGTACTAGTCATCACTTACAAAATGAATATATTAATGTGATTAATGACAAAATATTTCACTGAGGTTAGTCTTACAGAAAGTTTAAGGGAAACCAAAATTAAGGACTCCAGATTCATTTAGGCCTCTTTCAAATATAAAATATTCCTAATTTTCCTTGTCTTACTACTACTGGAAGGGAATCTTGCTATGAATTAAAACAAAACCCAAACAGCAATTCTGTTCCTAGGTATATACCCAAAAGAATTGAAAAGGGGTATTTAAACAAATACTTAGGCACAAACGTTCATAACGGCAGCACTATTCACAATAGCCAAAAAGTGGAAAAAACCCAAATGTTCATCAAGAGATAAATGGATAAACACAAAGTGGTATCCACTCAAGGGAATATTTTCAGCCATTAAAACGAACGAAGTACTGATACACACTACAATGTGGATTAAACTAAAAAATATTACGCTAAGTGAAAGAAGCCAGACACAAGAGGTCACATACTGTATGATTCCATTTATATGAAATATCCTGAATAGGTAAATCCATAGAGACAGAGAGTCGATTAGTGGTCGCTAGAGGACTGGAAGGAGGAGGGAATGACTGCTTAGTAAGTATGGGGTCTCCTTTGTGGGGGATGAAAATGTTTTGCAGCTAGATAATGGTGGTCATTGCACAACACTGTGAATGTACTGAATGCCATTGAATTGCACGCTTTAAAATGATGAATTTTAAATGGTCATGTGAATTTCACTTTGGTTAAAAAAAACACACAGAATAATGAAATAATGGTGATTGACCATAAAGCCCTAGATGAATAACAGGTAATTTGCTTTTTCTTAGTTTGTCACAATTTAATGAGTTTGTGACCATCATAAACCAATATATAAAAAATTACCCATTAAAAGTTCCAAATAAGGCATTAATGTAGCTGAGGTCCCCTAATTTGTCCAGTTGGCAGAGCACCTAGTAGAGTTTACAGTACACAAGAAGCTTTAAAAATGTTTTTAATTTGTATAAAGTCTAAAGAAAAATATTGAGAAAAATGTGAAAGAATATAAAGTGGCCAGAGCCTAGGAAATAAGGTGACCTACATGCATATGGGAAAAATCTATATATCTGAGCATGCAGAGAGACGTAAACACTCAGGAGAGAAACCGGCTTCTTCTCATAACTTATTCTGTGTTTCTCCCAAAACTGAAGAGTAAATAGTAGTTTACAGTCACCACCCTCTGGGTTTCAGCAAAGAGGTCACACACAGGGAGGGCCTCGAGCTGCCACTTCCAATTGCTTCCCTGGTGAAACAACGCAGGAGGTTAAGTTACTTCAGGAGACTCTCAACAGGGCTCCCATTGTTCCAAGCTCAAAACTCAGAGATACAATGGGCACCATTCATACTGAGAGCTTACGGGCTGGGGAATGGTCACTCAGTGACAACTTTTTTGGGGACATTGAATTTTCATAAATACGGACTTATACCGATATGTGGGAATTATTTTTTAAAAGCAGCACAAAATAAAGAAATAAAACTCAATGGACACTAAACTGACAGGACACCCAAGTCTTATCCCCAGCTCTGTCTCTAATGTGACTTTAAGAAAGTCACTTGCTCTTTCTGAGCCTTACTTTCCTTGTTTGTAAAATGAAAATGATTCTAAGATCACTCAGAACTCTAAAGTTCTGTGAACACATATGAGGTCTGTTGATGTTGCTACATTATTTACTCCAACAAGTGGGGATAAATTATGAGCAGAAAAGAATCATCAGTTCACATCTTTTCATTTACTACCAGCATTTAAAAACAAGGAGGCTCAGTAAAGACAGGCAGAGACACTATTTTGTTTTCTCTTAAACAGACAAATCATAATGAATAAGGTCCAGTGAGCCCCTCCATCCCAACAAGTCCAGGATCACAGAAGTGGGTATCCCTACACAAAGCACAATGATGAAAGGCATAAACAAAAGCCTTAAGTATGTTTTTCTGTCACCTTTTCTTAGGTTATTAATACATTTCATGAATCTCTTGACTTCTTTGCCATGACTCAAAATCCCCGGAAGAAAAATGCCATTTACAACAAGAATGCGATCGATGTCCTAAGTTTTCACACCATGTCATTTTTTTGTTTTTTCAACCTCAAAACTTGCCAAAGCAAGAACTTTGTCGCCAGAGCCTAAGGAGAAAGACACATAATAAACAGAAATGTCATTTCAAATGCATTTATAGTTCCAGGTAAAGAGAGGAAAATCTATCACATAGATGATAAAACAGAAAATGAAACGAGTTTTTATTATCAGCGCATTATCCCTGACCCTCCCCACCACCACGACAATTTCCTTCCCTGCACAAACAACTCAGCCACATAGGGCAATTTATTGGTTACAAATACTTACTTTAATTAGGGTATGAAATAGAACATGTAACATTTTAGTTTACTTTTATATTTACATTTAGCTGAAATATTTTTAAAGCATTAGGCTATATTAATTTGATTATTTTTAATTAAATAGTATTGGAAAACAAACCCATTAAAAAGCGGTTTATAAAGAAAACAATTCTGGTTTCACCTCTAAACTCAAGAAAAGGCCATCATTTTATCTCACCCGTGCCATCTGTCAATCTAGAGCAGTAATTCATATCCAGCTTTCAGAAATACGAGGGTACTCACCAAGGTCTGTAGAGACTTTCTCAAACTGGCTGAGTATAGCACCTGCGTTTGCTGACAAGAAGGCCTCGTCATCTGCTGTCAGCTAAACAAACAGAACAAAACCCAAAGGACTGAGTTCAAATGTGAACAAAGTGGCTCTAGGAATCACTGTTAAGAATGTCTTAGGGGCTTCCCTGGTGGCGCAGTGGTTGAGAGTCTGCCTGCCGATGCAGGGGACACGGGTTCGTGCTCCGGTCTGGGAAGATCCCACAGGCCGCGGAGCGGCTGGACCCGTGAGCCATGGCCGCTGAGCCTGCGCGTCCGGAGCCTGTGCTCCGCAACGGGAGAGGCCACAACAGTGAGAGGCTCGCGTACCGAAAAAAAAAAAAAAAAAAAAAAGAATGTCTTAGGACCACAAACTAAATCACAGATCAAGAAGTTCTATACCAAATACTTCACACTTTTTCTTTATACCTAATATATTAAATTAAATACAAGTACCTTCTCTCCAAGTTTCCTGAGAGCTGTTAGTATCTCCACTTTCTGCTGAGTATACAGGTCTCTTTCCAGCTTTCCTACCATGAGATCTCTATCCATCTGTAACAGATGAATGCAAAGCATATGGTATTTAAGTTAAAAGCATTCTTTGCATAAAATCAAGCTTTTCAGATGTACTTTTTAAAGAAAAGGTCCTCTACCAATTAATATTATAAAGAACTATAGAAACAACTCAAGGCAAACATGATAGAAATGTTATTGCACAGTTCTAATAAATCTTGATACTAATCATAACCATTGTCTTAGTTATAAACTCTACTGAGGAATTAGTAGGTCAATAGCTTCTTTAAAGAGGAGCTATCCTCTAAGAACTCTATTTCATTAAACTGAAGTGTGGTCTAAAGGCCTGAATGAGACAACTGGTAACAGATCTCCTGGAACTTTGGTTAAATATCACCTCTACCACCAGAAACATTGATAGCATGTACTATGCTTTGGTACTATTCTATGTGCTTTACACATTTTACTCCATTTAAACCTCATAACAACCATAAGAGGTAGGGACTATCATTACTGCCTTTTTACAAATGGGGAAACAGGCACAAAAAAAGGTTGAAGAAGGACTTCCCTGGTGGTCCAGTAGTAAAGAATCCGCCTTCCAATGCAGGGGACACGGGTTCGATCCCTGGTCGGGAAACTAAATCCCAAAAGCCGCCAGGGGCCGCCCAAAGAAAAAAAAAAAAGAAAAAAAAAAAAAAAGAGGTTGAAGAAAATAACTTCCCCAACGTCACATACGTCCACAGTAGAACAGGGGTACAAATCCAAACAGTTTGATCCAAATCCATGCTCTTAACCACTATGCTATTAAGTTACCAATGGCTGCAAATAACTTATTAATGTCTTAACTATATTCAAGTCTATAAACAGACTTCCTCAAGTGTCAGGTTTATAAAGATGTTTGAAATTCTTAGATGGGAAAGGCCGCACATGCATAAAGCATGGCTGCTAATGAATGCTAGATGGGATTTCAATTCAGAGCTCCAGAAATAAATAGTAAAACTTTAAATGTGGAGTTGTAGCAGAAGCAGTCAGTAGCAATTTAAACTGCCATATGCTGGTTAAACCTCTACATTTGTTATCAACAACAACTGCTCAAAGGACTAATTTTGTCAGAAACCAAGTTGTGGGTTGTGGCTCTAAAGTCAACTGACTAGTTTTTTGAAATAGACTATTTTTTAGAGCAGTTTTAGGTTCACAGTAAATTGAGCAAATGGTACAGAGATTCCTCATACACCCCTTGCCCTCACTCATGCATAGTATCCCCATTATAAACATCCCCACCAGAGTGGTACATTTGTTCCAACTGATGAACCTACACTGACACATCGTAATCACCCAAAGTCCATACTTTACATTAGGGTTCACTCTTTTTGTTTTTTAAATGTAATTAATTTATTTTTTTTAATTATTTACTTATTTATTTGGCTCCGTCGGGTCTTCGTTGTGGCGTGCGGGCTCTTTTAGTTGCGGCACGCAGGATCTAGTTCCCTGACCAGGGATTGAACCCGGGCCCCCTGCACTGGGAGCACAGAGTATTAACCACTGGACCGCCAGGGAAGTCCCTAGGGTTCACTCTTGGTGTTGTACATTTTCAAATGACCAATTTTTAAACTTTAGAATAACATAATGAGCAAATTCTTGGGCTGAGAAAAGAAATACATACAGGGACTGGATCAATTTAAAGAAACTTTACCTCTGCTAACCTTGTCCGAAGCTGACCTGGTTGTTTCTTTGCAAACAATCTGATGACCTCTGGGGTTTTAAAGGCCTGGCTGATAGCTGCCTGGATAGCCTAGAAATACAAGAAGGTGAAAACTAACCAAAATAGTCCAACAAAGCAGATATTACAATATTTGATTGATAGGTCTTCAATTCTTAATAGGTCTTCTTTGTTCATCAAACAGTATTACAACTTTAGCATCCATTTGCTATTTCTATGCATGTCACTGGAGTCAAATATATAACTAGATGAAGATCTGGAAGCAAATGCTGTTTTATCCATAAGTAGACATTTCTCTAGAAGTTAAACCCCAAAAAGGGTACATTTTCTATCTTAAATATACTTACTGGAAAAAAACAACAACAAAAACCAAACTGTGTCACCAATGTAAGTAAATGATGCTTACCAGTTGCATTCCACTTAGTTCATCAACCAAAGTCATATTTCCAGACATAATTTTCTTTAGTGAATCATTAAATTCACTTAGTTGTTCCAGAGTTTCTTTTTTGGTTTCTTCATATTCATCTGTATCAAGTTCCTCTCTGAAGTACAGTGAACATAATATAGAAAAATATAGAGTTCCACAAGAAAAAAACAATCTTAGTATTTATACACTAAGACTTCAGATACATATATATACAAAAAATATCCTGGGGGAAAAAGGCTGAAAGGAAATATCAAAATACTAATGATGGATGTGTTCAGACATTAGTGTGGGCGTTTTCCTGCAATTCTGACAATTAAACTTTCTTATTTTTTTTTAAACCAAAATGAGACATACTTAACAAACAAACCACATAATAACTTCCTTTTAAGCAGTCTCTGAATCAATGGTATAGCCTTGGGCAAGATACTTGACTAGCCAAGTCTCAGTTTTTTTTATCTATTGTATAAGCTGTAGATAATGATAGTACTTACTTTATAGGGTTGCTATGAGCATTAAATGAAATATGGAAAGTACTTGGCATATAATAGGTACTTGATAAATAGCTGTTATTATTACCATCATTATCATTAATGGTAGGTAAAATTTTATGCACCTTGAAATACAACAGCAATGCAGTACTTGCCATCTGAGTACTCCAAACAAGCCATTTATTAAACATTTACTACAAAACAGCTCCCATTTATCTAGTGCCTGCTTTGGGCCAAGCATTGTGTTGTTCCCTTCATCTGCAATAGTTACAATAGTCTTTCAAGGTTGTTAAAAAGGCAATGAGCAGTCTTATTTCTTTGAGCAGTTAAGGCTGAAGACACACCAGAAGTTCAAGCAGTACCTTCTCAGCTTGATACCAGGCAGGGCTACTTCAAATACTGAAGACAAGATGGGTGTTATTATTTCCATTTCATACTCAAGGAAATGGAAACTTAAGGTGGTTAAATATTTAGCCCAAGTTCACATTCACTTTGAAATTAATCTAAATACTTTCATATCCCAGCTTTTAAACTCCAAAGCCAGTACTGAGTTTATTTCTCCAGCAGACAAAGCACTGTGAAGAACACTACAGGGGAAACCAAAATCACACATGGGCCTGCACACATGGAGCTTATAATCTAGCTGCAGGAGACAAAAGCCATTTTACAGCATAGCAGCACACAATTATACTATTACCTGCATTCCTCCAGGTCCTGTAATTGCTGCATTAGTCTATCCAACTGCTCTTCTAAGTTCTGCTTTAATTTGCTTGTCTCTGTCTTTCCTCTGGAAGCCATTTTACTAAGGAGAACAATAAAGCAATTTAAAGTAGGCTATACTCAAAAAAAAAAAGTGGTGGGGACTTCCCTGGCAATACAGTAGTTAAGACTCTGCGCTTACCCTACAGGGGGCGCTGGTTCGATCCTTGGTCTAGGAACTAAGATCCCGCATGCTGCATGGTACAGCCAAAAAAAAAAATTGGCTATACTCTTTCTGAGCTACAGGTGTGGGGAAGATAGTCGTGCAAAAAAAAAAATCTCAATTTATATATAAAAGTTGAAACGCATATAGTAGTAACACCCCACAAAAATGCCTGGGAGTCTTCTTAATTGAATTCACAAATTAATTAGAAGTCTTAACTATTAGTCTATCTTACTTTAAACATATTTGATAGATGAAAATACAGATTTATAAAGAAACAGATCAGGCGTGACTCTGCTTTACAAGATTCATTTTAACATTCTTTTTCGTTCTTAATAAGTACACTCCAGGACTCAGAATTCTCCTAGTATTATCTTATTGGTCTTTAGGTGCATTTACCTAATGACTTGTGGGCATGAACAACTTTTTTTTTTTTTTTTTTTTGTGGTACGCGAGCCTCTTACTGTTGTGGCCTCTCCCGTTGCGGAGCACAGGCTCCGGACGCGCAGGCTCAGCGGCCATGGCTCGCGGGCCCAGCCGCTCCGCGGCATGTGGCATCTTCCTGGACCGGGGCACGAACCCGTGTCCCCTGCATCGGCAGGCGGACTCTCAACCACTGCGCCACCAGGGAAGCCCAATGAACAACTTTTGATGTGAATTTCTTCTTTGGAAATGTGCCCATTTTTCTACTGGATTATCTTTCTCTTACTGATTTATACAACATGGATATAAAGTCCTTGCAATTATGTTGCAAATATTATCTCTTGTCTCCTGGCTTTAAATTTTATTTATGGCATTTTTTGTTATGGTAAATTATTATTTTTAATGGCCAAACCTATGTTCTCCTCTATGTTTTCTTAGTTTTGTGTCCCATGAAAGCAAGCCCTGACCATCTCAAGATTTTTAAAAATATACTATTTTGTTTTTGTTTTTGGCTGCACTGTGGGGCTTGTGGGATCTTAGTTCCCTGACCAGGGACTGAACCCGCGCCCATGGCAGTGAGAGCACCAAGTCCTAACCACTGGACTGCCAAGGAATTCCCAAAAATGTACTATTTTTTTGTTAATGCTGTGAAGTAGGGATCTTTTATTTTCTTTCAAATGGATAGCCAGCTGCCCCAACACTGTTTACTAGTATTTATTTATGCTACCTTTAATTGAGACTCAATAGAAACAGACTCAAGTCTGTTTCATTGATAATATTCTGGTCCTAAGGCATTACTTTACTATTTTAATTATTATAGCTTTAGAGCTGGTGTATACTGATGACTGATAAGGAGTTGGCTCTATTATTTTTTTTCCCCAAAATTCTTGACTATACTTGTACATTTTCCCTTCTAGATGAATTTAAGAATCATTTTGACAAATTCCAAAAAAAATTCAATTGAAATTTTTTTATTTTATTTTATTGATTTATTTATTTTGGGCTTCATTGGGTCTTCGTTGCTGCGCGCAGGCTTTCTCTAGTTGTGGCGAGCAGGGGCTACTATTTGTTGCAATGCATGGGCTTCTCACTGCGGTGGCTTCTCTTGTTGTGGAGCATGGGCTCTAGGCACGCAGGCTTCAGTAGCTGTGGTGCACGGGCTTAGCTGCTCCAAGGCATGTGAGATCTTCCCGGACCAGGGCTCGAACCAGTGTCCCCTGCATTGGCAGGCGAATTCTTAACCACTGTACCACCAGGGAAGTCCCTCAGTTGAAATTTTGACAGGGGTTACATTAAAATTAATATGGAGAAAATCTGTATCCTTAAAATTTGAAACTTCCAATCAAGCAATATATCTCTCCACTTATCAAAGCTTTCTTTTATGATCTCCAGTTTAAAAAAAAGTATTATTTTATTCACAAAGGCTTTAAACACTGGATGTTCTTAGATATCTTGTATTTTTTGTTAATATCGGAAATAAGGTTTTTGTTATTACAATTTCTTTTTTTAAAAAATTTATTTATTTTTGGCTGTGTTGGGTCTTCATTGCTGCACACCGACTTTCTCTAGTTGTTGCGAGCAGGGGCGACTCTTTGTTGGGGTTCCCCGGCTTCTCATTGCGGTGGCTTCTCTTCATTGTGGAGCACGGGCTTCAGTAGTTGTGGCTCATGGGGTCTAGAGCACAGGCTCCGTAGTTGTGGCGCACAGGTTTAGTTGCTCCGCGGCATGTGGGATCTTCTGGACCAGGGATCGAACCCGTGTCCCCTGCACTGGCAGGCAGGTTCTTAACCACTCTGCCACCAGGGAACTCCCTGTCCACCATTTCTTACAGGTAAGACTCCAGCCTTCGAGACCTTCCCTGAGTTCCAAAGGGTGGATTCTGAATAGCTGCTAATCAAGGGAGGAGTAGCCAAGAAACTACCTGAGGCAAGATTAAAGGGACAGAGAAGAAGCTCATCCTTCTCTCTTTTTTTTTTTTAAAATAAAAGACTGGCTAGGGCTTCCGTGGTGACGCAGTGGTTGAGACTCTGCCTGCTGATGCAGGGGACGCAGGTTTGTGCCCTGGTCCGGGAAGATCCCACATGCTGCGGAACGGCTGGGCCTGTGAGTCATGGCCACTGAGCCTGCGCGTCCGGAGCCTGTGCTCCACAACGGGAGAGGCCACAACAGTGAGAGGCCTGCGTACTGCAAAAAAAAAAAAAAAAAAAAAATTTTACTTATTTTTTTTTGCTGCGTTGGGTCTTTGTTGCTGTGCACGGGCATACTCTAGTTGTGGCGAGCGGGGGCTACTCTTCACTGCAGTGCGTGGGCTTCTCATTGCGGTGGCTTCTCTTGTTGCGGAGCACGGGCTGTAGGCACTCGGGCTCAGTAGTTGTGGCGCACAGGCTTGGTTACTCCGCGCCATGTGGGATCTTCTGGTCCAGGGATCGAGCCTGTGTCCCCTGCATTGGCAGGCGGATTCTTAACCACTGCGCCACCAGGGAAGTCCTCATCCTTCTCTTTTGAGCCTGCATTTTCTTCTACTTATCAAGGCCAAGTCATCCATCCTTCAAGGTCAAGTTTCACCTTCTCCATAATGCCTTCCTTGGTTCCCTCCCAATCACTACATTGTGAGTTATTTGAGAGTGGGGATTTTACATTTTCTTTATACACCAGCGGCTAGCACAATGCTGGGCAGATAGAAGGTACTGAATAAATAAATGGTAAATGAATAATGATAATTGATCGCTTTTGCGATCAATTGCGATTTTGGAGACTAAGATCTATGTCTTAGTCTCCATTTAACACTATGTCTGCCTTGAATTATATGTGATTTCATCATAGCTTGTTGTTTATTTGTCTGTCTTCCTCTCCAGACTGTAAACTGAGAGCAGAAAATGGGTCTGATTCCTTTCTTAGCCTCTTCAGCACTTAATACAGACTACATATTCGATAACTGAATGAACTGTATAAAGGCACAACGTACTGTAAGGAGGTAAAGCTATTCTAAATGAATTTCAGAGAAGATGAAGATGCTTTAAAAACCTTACCCTCATGCTACATTATTTGAGATTTATCCCAGAAAGATTAACTCACGGGCACCACCTAGTATTCAATAAAGGTGGTGCACCTTTTACCGAAACTGCAAAATTACTCTTCAAAAACTGTAAGTTTTTTGTTTTTTTTTTTGCAGTACACGGGCCTCTCACTGCTGTGGCCTCTCCCGTTGCGGAGCACAGGCTCCGGACGCGCAGGCTCAGCGGCCATGGCCCATGGGCCCAGCCGCCCCGCTGCATGTGGGATCTTCCCGGACCGGGGCACGAACCCGTGTCCCCTGCATCGGCAGAGGGTCTCTTAACCACTGCGCCACCAGGGAAGCCCAAAAACTTAATTTTTGAGAATTAAGGTACTCATTCATGCTCACCTGTCTCTTAATCCTCTGAACTCTGCTCAGTGCGGACCGGTCTCAAATTGCATAAACCTCCAATTCTTGAAGTTCCAAGTGTCTTAAACTTGAGGAAAGCGAAACTGTTCATCAGGACTATAAGAGGCTCAAAGTTCAAACCACCTGGGGGTGGAGCTGGCTGGGAAAAGGGAAACCATTAAAAAGTGGTTTTATTTACTATACATAAACGTATACCTAAAGCAGTCCCAGTAACTGCCACTTGGGCAGCCTGCAACTGAAACACACCCTCTCTTTCTAGGACGACATCATAGGGGCGGGAGGGGGTGTGGAGGAGGAGGAGAAACCCGTTTTCTCTTTCGACTGTGCCTCTGGCAGTCTTTCTGAGGTTTTTTTCTAGTGAGACCGAGAGTGTTACTCAGGAAAACCCCGCACCCGGATCTGCCTTGAAGGAAGTTGTCATATCCAAAATCACGGAAAAGGAGCGCATACATTTTCCCGGCTGGAAGTGAGCAGCGTCTGGACCTCAACCATCCGGACGCGGTCAGGGAGCAGCCCCGATCACAGCCCCAAATCCCATCTCCCACCGGGGAACATGAAGCTCCCACATTTGGGTCGTGCGGCGGCCGGCTCGACTAGGCCCGACTGCCACCAGAGGTCGCCGGGAATCCGCTGCCTCCGAAACTCTTCCACTTTTCCCGACCAGAAACCGAACCACCTCCTCAGGCCCTCGGGGTCCCTTCTCCGCCTCCACCCACCACTCGGTCCCAGAGTTCGGAGCCAGGGGCCCCGCCTACCTGAGGGGCCCCGCTCGGCGGACGCGTAGAAGAGGAGCACTTCCGTCAGACGCACGCACTTCCGGCCTCCTGGAGCCAATGAGGGCGCGGCCGCGGATGTTACCCTCATTAGCGTCCGGGCTGCGGAGCGTCTCTCGGAGAGCTCGGGCTGGTCCGCTCTGAGGAGGAGGTAAGTCACCTCCCAGAGCTCTTGAAAAACCCGTCTCTGGTTGAGTCAGCTCAGGACTGCTTAGGGTCTTTGAGGGTAAGGTACAACTGTCCCGGAAGCTAGGTCACATTCAAGTTTGGAACAGGGAGGCTTGCCCCTTCATTGTTTCTGTTTCTCTCTGTGGAACCGAAAACCTCGGTAAATTTGCCTCTGGAACAAGTGAGTGCACCCTGGGGGAAAAAAATCCTTTTCAAGAGGCTTCTTGGGCTTGGCGGGGCACTTCTCTTTTTTCTGAAATTCGTAATTTCCAAATCTATAAAAGACTAGATCTATGTTCCTGGAAGCGGGACACTCACTCCTCTTGAGGAGAGACTGCTAGCTGTTGGCAGCAGTCTAGAAGTTACTCAGAAAATTAAAACATTTTCAGATGTTCCCAGCCCATCTCCTTGAAGTCATTAGTCCCCAAGACGACATCAGGGTTTACGGCGAAATTGTTTCTCAGGTGTTGTCTTTAAAGTTAATTATATTTCAGCCACCCAGGACAAACTTCCAAGATTACCGTAGAACTCCACCAGAATGAATTGTTTGTCCAATCATAGAATTTCTTAATTTATCACCGTAAATTGTTTCTCAGAGTTACAATTTGCATGTGAAACCACTCTTCTAAGTCCAACTTAGAGAAGACTGTTGACACACCAGTTGGAATGGTTCCAATAGCCTACCTTGCAAAACGCTTCAGATTCACAGAATTTGCTTTGTAAAAGTAAGTGGCTGTCATGTTAATATAATTAGCTCTGATTTTTGACATGTGAATATGTGTGGAAGCGTCAACGTTTTTGTGGAATATCGAACTCTCAATGACAAATAGTTAGGGCCAGTGCCACACAAAACAAAACTGGAAAATATACTTCTTTCATCGTTGGAAGAACTTGCTGAATAAACATTTTCTCACTGTGTTCACCCGCTAATTTTGATGATGATAATAAGGTGTTCTGTTTTGGCATTTATGTTGGTTTTAGTGTGTACAGTCTTAGAAGTGGTGGAGGAGAGGCCTCACCATATGTGCGTTGTATTTGCATGCTGTTTCTCGGTGACAATCTGATTCAGCGGTTCTATGCTGAGAGTGTTCTTACATACCTTTGAGTTCTGTTTAGAGCTAATGGACAATGAAAAAGTATTCCTAGTGCATAGACAAGAGAAATTGGTTTGGGTTCCAGTTCTCAAACAAAAATAGAATACAAGCCTGAGGGGAAATAGGGAGGGAAGAGAAGATGTTGGGAAAAGATGAATGAATATTAGGTAGGTAGTCACAGGAGAGAGCATTGGGGAAGAAAACCTCAGAACTGGGAGTCATAACTGGAAAACCAGATGAATACTACTTGGCAGCTGGGAAGGTTTAGGACACCTCAACTTGGACTTGGGAGGGGAGTCCAGAGAGCACTAGCTGCTCCAACTAGGTAGGGAATATGCAGGGGCAGATGAAACTTGAGTGGCTAATAAGAAGTACCATGGGGCTTCCCTGGTGGCGCAGGGGTTGAGAGTCTGCCTGCTAATGCAGGGGACACGGGTTCGAGCCCTGGTCTGGGAGGATCCCACGTGCCGCGGAGCAACTAAGCCCGTGAGCCACAACTACTGAGCCTGGGCGTCTGGAGCCCGTGCTCCGCAACGAGAGAGGCCGCGATAGTGAGAGGCCCGCACACCACGATGAAGAGTGGCCCCTGCTTGCCACAACTAGAGAAAGCCCTCGCACAGAAACGAAGACCCAACACAGCAAAAATAAATTAATTAATTAATTAATAAACTCCTACCCCCAACATCTAAAAAAAAAAGAAGTACCATGAGCCAAAGGCACTCTGAATGCGTGGACCTCTTTCTAATGTCTACGAGTAGATAACGTACCATTGTAAATCTTGTGTAACGGTTAAGCGCATGAACTTTTAGAGTCAAGGTTGTTACACAGGCTGTGAGATCTTGAACAAGTTAATCAACCTCTTTCAGCTTAAGTTTCCTCATATGTTAGGGAAAAAAGGAGAGAATAATAGTACCTACTTCATTGGAGTGTTGTAAGGATCACATGAGTGCTTAGTATATTGCTTGGCACACAGGAAGAACTCAATGAATGTTACTGTTATAGTTGTCACCATCATTATAGTTACATTAGTATAACTGGATATTTATTTTTGAGAAACAAGCCCATCCAAAGAGAATGGGTGAATGTATTGCCATTCAGTGAAGAGCACAGGAGAAAAAATAAGGATTCCATAGCAGGAACCCTGAAGCTTTCTGCCCTTCTGTTGTCAGTTTCCCCTGCCCCAGGCAACCACTGATCTGTCTTCTGTCATTATAAATTCTTTTCTAGAATTTCATATAACTGGAATCATATAGCATGTTCTTTTTTGTATCTGGCTTCTTTCACTCAAAATAATGTCTCTTCAGATTCATCCATGTTATTTGTATCAGTAGTTTCTTCCTTTTTATTGCTCAATAGTATTCCGTTATTTGAGCTAATAATAAACTTCATTCATTCATTCATTTCTTGATTAACATTTGAGTTGTTTCCAGCTTTTGGCTATTACGTATAAAGCCAAACCATACAATTCTTTGTGTAGACGTATGTTTTCATTTCTCCTCATTATTTTTAAGCTATGCTCTTAATTTGTACCTAAAATCCTTTCTTAAAAAAAAAAATCCTTTCTTTGTGGCCTCCTTAGGGACCTTTCTCCATCAATTATTAGCTTTCTTGCAGGCTGTGTGGCTTCCTAATTGTGCTTTTCCCTCAACCAACCAACATTCTAATTCTGTTCTTCAAAAAAAAATCAAATCAAATAAACAGCCTTCTTTTAACCATGGTATCTCCTTGAAGGTAGTCTTTAGTGTCTCTGGGTTTTACTGCCAGGTTCTAGTCTCTCTCTTTTTCTGTCTACCTACTAGATCTCCCTACTCGGATGTCCTGTGTATACCTCAAGTTCAGCGGCACCTTTAAAACCGTAGTGTGTGTCTTTATGCTTTCCCTTCATACCTCCCAACCTGTGCTTCCCCTGATACTCTCTGTTGACTCTCGGCACACCATCTAAGTGGTCTCTAAGTCAGAAATCTCCCTTCACCTCCTTCCCTCCTCCATTCACTCAGCTCATCTACTTGTAAACCCTTGACACCGTCCCTCCTGTTATTACCCTTCATTATCTCTCACCTGGACCAGTGGAGCTTTACAAACTTTAAGATGTATACACATCACCTGGGGATCTTGTTAAGATGCAAATTTTGATTCAGTAGACCTAGGGTAGGGCCTGTGGTTGTGTATTTCTAACCAGTTCCCCGGTGATGCCCACACTGCTGTTGCATTCTGTCTCACTCACTCTCTTGGTAATGTCATCCAGTCTTTACGACTTTAAATACCATCTATATGCAGATGACCCCAAATCTAGTAAATCTCTAGTCCTCTCCCCTGACCTGGGCTCTGTTCTGCGTTACCTACTTAACACCACTGTTTGCATATTTAATAGACATCCCAAACTTAACTTCTTTATAAGCTGAACTACTGATCTTCTCCCCTAAACCTATTCCATGACCATCTTTCTCTTAGTTAAAGGTAACTCTAGTTTTTTAGTTGCTTAAGCCAAAAATTTTTGGAGTCATTCCTGACTCCTCTTTCTCTCGCAGCACACATTCCATCCATCAGCAAATCACACTGGCTCTACCTTTATAATATATCTAGAATCGAATGACTTCTCACCACTTCCACTGCTACCACCCTGGTCCACGTCAGCATCAGCTCTCACCCGGGTTACAGCAGTACCTTCCCATCTGGTCTCCTTTCTTCCACCCTATTTCCCCCTACATTCTGTTGTCAGCTTTAGCAGCCAGAGAGATGCTTTGAAAATATGTTTGGTCATGTCACTCCTCTGCTCAGAAACCCTGCAGTGGCTCCCTTTTACCGCTGATGACATCTACCAAAACTCCTTCCCTCTGTTAACTCCTGCTCAGCCCTTCTGATCTCGCTGGAGATCCTGGAACTGGGCAGACCTGCTTCTGCCTCAGGGCTTTTGCCTTGTTTCCTTTGCTTAGAACATTTTTCCTTTAGGTGTTTGCCTGGCTCACTCCCTTGTCTCCTTTAATTCTTTGCTCAAATGTCACATGGTGAGGCCTTTCCTGACCACCCTATTTAGAATTCCAACACTCCTTATCCTCTTGCTTTACTTTGTTTTACTCATAGCGCCATTATTTAATATGCCATTATACGAATGCATTTTTTAAAAATAAAGTTATTTATTTGTTTTTATTTTTGACTGTTGGGTCTTCGTTGCTGCGCGTGGGCTTTCTCTAGTTGCAGTGAGCCGTGGCTTCTCTTGTTGCGGAGCACGGGCTCTAGGCACGTGGGCTTCAGTAGTTGTGGCACATGGGCTCAGTAGTTGTGGCTCACGGGCCCTAGAGCGCAGGCTCGGTAGTTGTGGCGCATGGGCTTCATTGCTTGCGGCATGTGGGATCTTCCCGGACCAGGGCTCAACCCCACGTCCCCTGCCTTGGCAGGCAGATTCTTAACCACTGTGCCACCAGGGAAGTCCTGAGAATTATTTCTAAAGTGCACTGATATATTACTCCCTATTTAAGCCCTCTAAAACATCCCCATTCCCTACAGGATGAAATCCAAACTCTGAGCATGGGGACACCCTAAAACAATCTTCCAACAGTTCCATATTTTTTTTT